AAAAATATTCAACCGGAAAAAAACCCGCTGAAATATGCACAAGGGGACCCTTGAGCTACATTATCAATCCTGTAAAGTTTTCATTTGAAAATTTGCATTTAGTGGTAAAAAAGAGAAGTAGTCTGGACAAAACTTAAAAAAAAATTAAAATTAAAGGGCCATAAACTCTTACAAAAATCAATTTGAACCGGAAAAATGCTTGGACAATTTGCCACAACTAGACCTGGTAAGATCATTTAATTGTAAAGATGGGTGAAAATTGCCACCATTACTTTAAGAGGAGTAGTCCGGACAGGTTTTGCTGTTCTTGGCAAAAACCAGAAAAAAACACCTTTTTATCAAAAAGGGCCATAACTCGGCCAAAAATCATTCCACCTGGAAAACCCGGTAAAAAAATGCACAAGGACTTTGAGCAACAGATAAATTTATTAAGGGTTTCATTGAAATTTGCAATTCGTGTTATAAGAGATTAGGACAAAACTTTTAAAAATAACAAGAAAGGGCCATCATGGCCCCCTGAGGTCGCCTCACCTGTAATAGGGCCCCCCCACCCCCGGGCCAATTTTTTACCCAAGGGCCTTTTATTTGTTTATTTTGAACAGAACTTGGTAACACCCATAAGAAAATGTTTCATTGCTAAACATCTAACTTCTAGCTCATTGGGTTTTTTTTAAAAGAAGATTTTTAAAAGCTTTTACTATACACCATTATAGCGTAAAAACAATGACAACGGTGGGCAGGCCCAGTTTTGACCCCCCGGGCTTTTACTTGAAAACAAACTTTTGTAGATAATATTATTTTAAAGATGTTTCATTGCTTTAAATCTAAAACTCTTAGCTTTTGGGTTTTTTTCAAAAAGGATTTTAAGTTTTTGCTATACACATATAAGGAAAATCAAATGAAAACCCCCCCCCCCGGGCGGGGCCAGTTTTGACCCAGGGCGTATTTATTTTGGGAACACACTTGGTAGACACCCATTAGAACATGTTTTTCAATGCTAAAATATCCCTTAGCTCTAGCTTATTGAGTTCTTTAAAAGAAGATTTTTTAAGTTTTTTACTATATGCATATAGGGAAAATCAATGCCCCCTGGGGGGGGCAAATTTTGACCCCCCAGGGCTTTTATTTGAACAAACTTGGTAGACACTCATTAGAAGATGTTTTCATGCTAAATATCTTAGCTTCTAGCTCTTGGGTTTCTTTAAAAAAAGATTTTTTAAGTTTTTATTATATGCATATAGGGAAAATCTATGAACCCCTTGGGCGGGGTTCAATTTTGACCCCAGGGCTTTTATTTGAAACAAACTTGGTAGACATTCACTAGAACATGTTTCATGCCACAATATCTTAGCTCTAGCTCTTATGGTTTTTTTTAAAAGAAGATTTTTTAAATTTTTTTACTATTGCATTATAGGGAAAATCAATGACCCCCCGGCGGGGCCAATTTTGACCCCAGGGCTTTAAATTTGAACAAAACTTGGGTAGACCACTCACTAGAAGATGTTTCATGCTTAATATCTTAGCTCTAGCTCTTTGGGTTCTTTTAAAAGAAGATTTTTTAAGTTTTTTACTATATGCATATAGGGAAAATCAATGACCCCCTGGGCGGGGCCAATTTTGACCCCAGGGCTTTTATTTTGAACAACTTGGTAGACATTCACTAGAAGATGTTTTCATGCTTATTATCTAAGCTCTAGCTCTTACGGTCTTTAAAAGAAGATTTTTTTAGTTTTTACTATATGCATATAGGGAAAATCCAATGACCCCCGGGGCGGGGCCAATTTTGGCCCCAGGCTTTTATTTGAACAAACTTGGTAGACACTCACTAGAAGATGTTTCATGCCAAATATCTAAGCTCTAGCTCTTTAGGGTTGTTTAAAAAGAAGATATTTAAAAGATTTTTCTTTCGGTTGCCATGGCAACCAGAGTTCTGCAGTTTAAATTAAATTCTTTGAACAATTTTTAAAGGTGACCACCAAAGGGAACATTCCTGTGAAGTTTGGATGAAAATTGGCTCAGTTGGTTTTATGAGGAGATGTCATTTTAAAAGCAAAAGTTTATGGACGGAACGGACAACGGACGGACGACGGACGGACGACGGACGAAAAAGCGATTCAACAAAAGCTCACCCTGTCACTTTTGTGACAGGTGAGCTAAAAATTATTAAAGGGCCATTACTCTTACAAAAAATCATTGAACCATAAAATGCTGACAATGCACAACTAAATTTAGTACTGATCATTCCTGTAAAGTTTGGATGAAATTGCACCAGTACTTTATGAGGAGTAGTCTGGACAAGCTTTTGTGTATCTTTCAACACACAGAAAAAAAACACCTTTTTATCAAAGGGCCAAAACTCGGCCAAAAATCAATTCAACCAAAAAACCCTGCAATATGCGCAAGGACTTGAGCTACAGATTAATTCCTGTAAAGTTTCAATGAAATTGCATTAGTGGTATACGAGAAGTAGTCTGAACAAACTTTAAAAAATAAAAATTATTAAAGGGCCATCAACTCTTACAAAAAATCATTGAACCGGAAAATGCTGACAATATGCACAGTTAGACTGAATACTGATCATTCCTGTAAAGTTTGGATGAAATTGCACCAGTAGTTTATGAGGAGTAGTAAGGGCAAGTTTTGTGACAGACGGACAGACAGACGGATGCACGGAGAAGTGATCCCTATATTCGCCACTACTTCGTAGCGTAGAGGCGACACAAAAATGCATGCACTTTAAAGCTACATATATTGCGCAGTTAAATATTCAGTTTCAATTTTGACCTATAACTTAACACTTTTCAATAGATTGTCAAATATTCTCACATAAATCAGCCTTTTAAACATTTCAATTCAAAGATGAATATGAATCAACAGCACTCTATCATGAAAGATTGTTTAAAAAATACAATAAAATAGATGATGCAAAAACAACAAAACAACAATACAGTAATAATCTTCCATACAATGCCTTGTAAAAATAAAGACATGATTGAACAGCAAAAATGATAAAATAAAAAAACATGCTTAAATGGAAACAAAAATCTTTGGTTTCAATCTCCACATGTGGTTGAGCTATTTTTGTTTTATACATGTACCACTATAATCTTACATTTATTTTATTTATAAATGCTCTCAACCGTCAATTACATTTTCACATTAACACTGCATGTTAATTAAAAAAGTCATGATAGATAGAAATACATACTTTTGGCACTAATATCCAGAAATCTAGACATCCAAACATGCACAGCCCAAGAACAGATCATAAAGGGAATGTGAGGTAAAAACGAAAATTTCGGAGAGTTGGAAGGAGAATGTGGCAAAGCTAAAGAAAATAGACTAAATTCTTAATGTTGGGTGACAGATTATATAAATATTCTTCATCCAATTTGAATCTATCAAAACAGTAGTGATTTAGAGCTGTCATTTAACAGTAATGGCCTGTTTAAAATCTGGAACAATCCATTTGGGTTTTGATGGAGTTCAAATATCAATGTACTGAAAACTATTCAATATTAAAGTACTGAAACTAAACAGTTTCTGATGCAGTAACTATGCATAATCTATCAGCATAAGTGTTTAACAATCCTTCAAACTTATTTCACATGTTAAAACTGTCTTTTTCACAGTCTAGTAAATGTCATATTTCACGCATTATTTTCATATTTTTAAAATCTGAATATTTTTTGAATACCAATAATGTAAACATTTAAAAAAAAATGTGAAAACCTATTCTAAACACGGAAAATACATGAATTTTACATATACAATACATGAACTGACATGTAATATATATAATAACTAATATGTTTAATACATGAACTACACAATCGTTAACGTGTAGAAGATATAATAACAAGATTTAAATATCTTTCATAGCTTAAAAGAATATTTGAAGTTTGGATTAATCTAAAATATATTAAATTAAATAAAATCAAATGATCAAATCACCTTTTCAAAAAAGGATGCAAAAAAATACAAATGCCCTCAATCTTTGATACTTAAGATACTATGCTGAAATGTGTTGAAAATTTGACCTTGAAGATCAGGCTCCATTAGAACTAAGGTCTAATTGTATGATGTAAAAAACAATACTCTCATCTTGGAGTATGTTGTGTCTTATGATGATTTATGCTGCATGCAAACAACAAGACAAGCAACATATAAACAATATGTCTTACATGTCCAAATGTTATCTAGTTAACACTTATACTAAGATTACAGGCCCAATTGTTTTGTTTCTTTTGTTGTTGATTTTTTTTTTTTAATCCTGATAATAGATAATCTTTTTTAAATCATGTGCGTAGGATATTCTTGAAAACAATACACTAAGAATATATACTGCATAAATTGTGTATATGTAAAGAAACAAACATCTTTAAGTTATTCAAAAATTTACTACTAACGTAACTGTGTGGCTTATGTGACACAGTTAAAGCACTTTCCTGTAATAGCTTTTGATTATAAAAATAGTCATGATATACATGTAATATATTATAAGCACTTGAGATTATGACTTCTTTGGCACTATTCCTTTATATTCCTTATATCCTTTTAAATTAAATTCTTCCCAAGATCCCTGAAACATAAATATATGAAAACATTATACATGTACAAAACATTGCAAACAGCTGAATATTTTCATAAAAGGTACATTATGCTTTTGTTTTCATTATTCAAAAGCTTTTTCATTTCACTGTCCGGTTATATTTCCCCAAAAAATGTACTCAATGGCCAATTGTCTGAACCATTTTGCTTCTGCTGCTTTTTTAAAACTAATAACAATATGGTGTTTTTTGTATGGAAGTTAAAATACTTCTTTATTAACAATTTTGCTACTTATATTTAATAACAAATCATTTCACATTCAGAGCTACTTTAAATTTCTTCAAGTGATAAGCATCTCAAATGCTCTTAAACCATTACTTACATAACATTATAAAACTCATATTTGCCCTATCTGTATACTCAACATCACTAATTCCGCGTCATCACTTATCTCACGGTAATGGCATATTTTCATGTGACCATTGTTGTAATTGGTCAGAATTGACATATTTTATTCAAACACCTTAACAACAAAGTTTTTGTGCAAAATAATCTTAATCTATAGATTTTTACGTAAAACTAAACAACATTTTACAAACTTCTGCAAAAACCAACATTAGTCCATTAAATTTGTGCATACGTCTGAAACAATCATCATTTTCTAAATGTTCTTGTTTGTTGAAAGAATAAATTTTGAGTTACAATGTAAAGATACTTTTAATATTTAAAATTATGCAAAATAACATAAAGAAATTTTAACTGAAACATAAAAAAACTGAAATAAAACACCATTATCGCGAGTTAAATGATGACATACTGTTTTCAAAATGGCCGACACACGGTCTACATCTGACAAGTTAAAACTAATTTTGATTGAATATATTGTTGTTTCCTTGTGTCATATAATAGAAAAATGACTAAATGATACAGTTTATGAAAGTTTTTGTAGTGTAAGTTTATTGTTTGTGTTCTTTACTGTTTTAAAGTGTTAAGTACCGTGAACTAAGAGGAGCACAGTATATAATGAACAAAATTAATTTCTGAGTTCAGATACATAATGTACCTTTATATTAACACTGCCGAGTTATGAATCTGAGTAAAGGGTCAGCCTTAAAATGTAATAGATCTTTCATTAGGAAGGACTTGTATGTCATATTAATCAGATTGAACAATCAAATGTAAAATGTCTTTATAAGATGCAGCAAATGTAAGCTGGCTAGACTGTCCATGTACTGCAATGTTTCTATATGTGAGATAATCTAAGCTTAACCTTTATGCTATTCAATTCACACAATGGACATTGCTCCACATTTAATTAAAACTGTCCATTCAGAGCAACTTCACCTCTATTTGTCCCCTTTACTATGTATGCATAAAAAAGCATTAATTATATAGAATTCACTGTTTTTCATTGACTGTTGATCAATATTAACTATTATATTACAGGAATCAATCCATCAATATTTTATCATTTATAAATTGTAAACCTTATTGTACTCTAACATACCGCATAAACGGGAACATTTTCCTTGCCGAGGATCTGAGCAGCTGCTGCCACCCCACATGCTGTAAAACCTCGGAAACATGTTGCAACTATAGGATGACCTAGATCTACTCCAGCTCTGTCAAATACTGAAATAAAATCATCAAACATAATGTTACACTATTACAGTAATAATGGTTAAATTTAAATGTTACTTTGCAGGTAAAATTCTAAAATATCATAAGCATGCACAATAGTAGAACTGCTGACCTACTGAAAGCTACCTTTGTGACATCTTAGAATTTAATAGTCATAGAAACTTGCACTTAAAGCAGTGAAAGAGAAATGAACAACTGTACATACTAAGCAACTTAATTCAACTTTTTACTCAACATAACCTACATACTGCACATGTAGTTATTACCTTTGCTGAAACCTTTTTTCATACATTGTCAAATATCACTGTTTCACAACTATCTTTCATATTTAACATTATTTTGTTTCCAGCTAAAACTACAGTCTGCACTACAATGGCATGTCAAAGTTTAACTTCGTCAAATTGCAGTACAAAGCAATGCAATTTCTGTATTAAGAACCAGTCCTGCAGATGGGGAAATTGATGATAATAATGCTTCAAAATCACAAAGTGCTTTACAGCTGTTCTAATATTTTAAGAGGTAACTTCAAACTTCAGAAACAGAACTAAGTAAAAACAGCTGACATGCAATCAAAGAATGTATAATGAACAAAACCATTTACTCTTTTAAAGGAATAAAAATTATATTACAGTCATATATATTTTTTTTACATTTTTGCTTAATTTCATATTTATAGGGGATGAGCAATTGTGTCACAAAAATATAAATATAAGAGTCATACCACTAAGTTTCATAAATTCTTCATATTTTAATCCCCAATTAATGACATTTTTGCATTAAAATTTATTGATAAATTCATTTGAAAATGCTTTCTATCCAAAATTAATTACAAAATAGATTAGATGATCTTTACCAAACAAAAACAATAATTTTTGACTTACTTGCTTTAAGTTCCGAGTCTGGTTTGATTGTTCCGTCTTCTGAGAATAATTCTGGAAAGCTGACATGTTTGGAGCCTGCTATATAGCCACCCCCACTCTCCTCTGAAATAATTATGATTTTCTATTTTTGAAAACTACAATACCTCTTTCTGCATTCTGTAGGAAGTAACTATTTCTTTAGAAGTACTGCAAAATCATTATTGTTTGTGGGGAATTAATTTTTGCGGTTTTCGTGGATAGGTCAATGCATGATTTTAAGATCCAATGAAATTTCATTTTGTCTTCTGTAAGATTATCTGGCATTAAACTATTTGCATTTTACCTTTTGGAGAAAAAAAATAAACAGTCCCTAAATTTAAGAACCCATGAAAATGTTCTTTGTGACAAAACCACTAAATTTCATGTCCACAAAAGAAAGTGAATTCATAGTATTGCAAAATCACAGATGACCATAAATGATTCGTTATCGGCTATCAAAATCTTTATTTTTTAAGATTTTTAGCCCTGAATCTGCTGCAACCAAAAGTGATCAGCATTTGTCACCAGTATAGAACCAGGCCAGCCTGCACAACTGTACAATCTGACCAGGCTCTGTAGATACTGGTGGTAGCTCAAAATTTGTACATTATATAACTCAAATTGACTGTTCCAAATTAAAAGCAAGCCAAGTCTTTTACAATAATTCAGCAGATTAAGCAATAGTAAAACACTAACTAATACTGAATAGTGACAAGAAAATGTTTTAAAGCTACTCACCTACAGATGAATGAACAATTTTCAAATAAATGAACTTAAGACAAAACGTCAAAAGTTTGAAAAGAAAAGAATAAGTGTTCACAATCAAAGTTAAGATTTACACGGTATTTACGAAAATGAACTTACTACATGTATTTCAATAAGCATATCTTTACAGGTATCACTGTGACAATTTATACTCATTCAAGTGTAAAAATACTAAATGGTCATTTAAAAGGTGAGACTAAAAATAACTTGACATTTAATATTTTACTATGAAAAAATAATGAATAACTCACAAGACCAAAGGAAATTTCTAAAAATAAAGTTCAGAGTGGGCACTCTTTTTATAATTAAGGAAGGTTTTATATTGTATTAGTCAATTTTTAATTTTCAATTATTGGTCAATCACCAACACAATAGTCAATCTTTTGAAATATATTACTAATTCATCTCAACTTGACAGCGAAAAAATGCAAATAGCCACAAAATACCACTTCAACCGAATAAGGACTACTCTGATATATATTCACATATATTTTAATTTATGTATGCCTTATAAATTTGTAAATTATTATGAAAATTAGCATTATTCAGGAAGTGAGCTGCTGCAAGAAAAAATTACCATCTACTATAGTTGGGTGACTGAGAGCTCTAGCATCTACAAGTTGTGACTTCTTTGACTTCAAGATATCAAGAACTTCATCATAATTACGAAACAATGTTTTGTCAAGCTTGGCAACAAAATCAGATCTCTGGAAAAAAATTATTTTGAAATTAGTCAAGGCTAAAGTAAACAAAGCTAAAACTTTAGAGAAGTAGACAAACTCGAAAAAAACAACAAAAAAATTCAACATACACAAGTTGGTATAAAGTATAGTTATCTTACATAAACATTAAAAGAACTGCAAAATTATACAACATATATGCCAATATTTTATGTTCTGTATCAATTAAAGGCACATGAAGCCTAAGAAATGCTGTCTTTTTATTTGTCTTTTTTTTACTTATCTTGTTTCAGTTTCCAAATAGTTACTCATTTGCCATATTAATAAACTGTCATTTGCTCCTTTTCTCTTTGGCAACTGTTATAATTATAGTAATTTCGTATTTTGTATGGAAGTCACCATTAAAACTTTGCTTACATTTTGCTATTTTTAGGACAAATTACTGCATGTTCAGTGTTATTCTCTTCTATTGTTTAACATCTAACTATAATGCTCTAAATATATTATTAAAACATTTTTGAAGACATATTTGACCATTCTAAAGAATTAAAAACTTATTGATTTCTGAGCCATAATGTGCCTTTAAGACAAAAATGACATAAATACCTCATATTCAGGTTCCTCTTCTGACACTTCAAATCCATCATCCAGCCATTTCTTAAGTCCCCCATCCAACACTGATACATTTCTGTGACCAAACACCTAGAATGAAAAATACATGTTAACTCTATTCATTGGTCACTTTGACTTATAAACAAAAGAAATTAAAGAAGATGGCAAAGTGAATGTTTTTTCTCCATAAATGATAAATGCCAAAATTATTCACTTATTTTTGTTCTAATTTTAAAAATTTATGTTTAAAAAATAAAATGACAGGGGGTTAGGGGAAGTTTGCTTTTACCCCCTTGATTTTGTGTTCATTTCCCAAAATGTAATTTTTTTCTTTTTTTATCTTATTTTTTGATTTCCAAATGACGACTTTTTGCAGTCTCGAGTGACATCAAAATTTTGAAAGTTAATGGAAGCCCTGATGCACCATTTAAAATAATTCTATTTTATTTCTTTAACATAAATAATTTAGATATAAGGGGAAGAGTAAAATAAAAGAAATATTTAGCTAACCTTCCTTCCCTGGACAAACTGGCAAGGGTCACCAGAGGGGGAACAATGATACTTTCCAACTAGTAGTGTCAGTATATATTAAAAATAAACATAATGATTGTTTACCCTAAACTGCCACCAAGTCCTGTATGCAGACAGTGGGCCATATCTATCATATGCTACCACATGTGTGTCTGGCCACACCCCTAATGACTGAACATAATCTGTAAAA